ATGGACAACTTTGGCGGAATGAACGTGGATCGTTTTGGTTCTTCAGGCATGGGAAGAATGAACGGTAAGTTTGGGTTGAGACTCATTAAACACTCCAAGGCAGGCGTGCTACTCCTCGCGTCTTGCCGGATGTTTCTAATGGTTTCATCTCTTGCATTGTCAGAGATGGACCGTGGGATTGGTGGTGCTTTTGACAGGGAATTTGGGCGAAATGAAATGGGAATGTCTCGCAATAATTTTGGAGACTCCTTTGAAAGAGGAATGGGTTAGTACTTACTGGATTGTTCCAAAGCTCCTGTAGTGCTTTCTTGTGCTCAGACGATTAAACGTTGCTGTTCTGTGTTAATTTCTGCAGGAAATTCCCTGGGCATGGACCGCATGAACTCCGGGATGGACCGCCTAGGAGGCAGCTTGGATCGCATGGGAGGAATGGGCATGGACAGAATGGATCGTGTGTCTGACCTGGACAGGATGGGATCTGGTTTTGACCGTATGGGCTCTGGGATGGACCGCCTGGGGCCAACTATGGACCGGCTCGGACCAGGCCTGGACCGCATGTCATCAAGCATGGACCGCCTCGGCCCTGGAGGATTTGACCGACTCGGCCCGTCTAGTCTGGATCGCATGGGAGGCAGCATGGACTTTGGCTCCTCCATGGGTATGGATCGCATGGGCAACACCGGGCTCGATAGAATGGGAACCAGCTTCGATCGCATGGGGTCTGCTGGAGGCCTCGACCGTTTCTCCTCCGGAGGTCTTGACCGCATGAGTTCTGGGATGGACCGAATGGGATCTGGAGGCGTCGGTGGTCAGTTTGAACGCTCTGGAGATATGGACCGAGGATTTGGTGGGAATACCTTCGGAGGAGCCGGAGCTGGAGGGCCTGGAAGTGGTGGAGGCAACATGAGGAAGGGATGTCAGATCTTTGTCAGAAATGTAAGTTTCCAGATGTGACTTAATTTAGAGGGTGTTTAAGTGTCTGAGTTTTAAACTTGTAATGGATTGTGTTTTTCAGCTGCCATTTGATTTCACCTGGAAGATGCTGAAGGACACCTTTAATACATGTGGTAAGATTATACCTTTTCTTTTTCAGGAAATGTAAAAACTAGCAGGGTTTCAGATATCCTTTCCTGTCCCTGTTGTATTTGACTTTTTTTTTTTTAACCATATTCTACATTGTCACTGCAGGTATGGTCCAGTATGCTGATATCAAGATGGAGAATGGGAAATCCAAGGGCTGTGGCGTGGTCCGTTTTGACAACCCTGAAACTGCTGAGCGTGCCTGCAGAAACATGAACGGCTTCCGTCTGAACGGGAGAGAGATCGACGTTAGGATTGATAGAAACGCATAATTCATGTATCTGTGTTGTCAGATGATTTTGTCAGTAATGTCTAAAACATTGTTGCTCATCAGATTTGTCCTTCAGTATACTTGGTTTAGTAAATGTTGGTAAAAGCTTTTTTTTTTTTTTTTTTTTTTTAGTTGATACTTTTAGTTAGCAAATTGTAACAGTGGATGTTTTTAGTCTTGGGTTATTCCGGTGTTCTACTTTTTAGAGACCAAACTTTTAATTTTTTTCTTTTTTGTTCTGCTATGCATCACCTGTCATTGCCTTTGTTCTGTAAGGTGTTTTGCTAAATAAAACAAGTTGTATGAAAATGTCTTGCCTTTGTTTTGTTTAA